TATGAAGAAAACAGGTGAGGACAGGGAGACGGAGAGGGAAAAAATGTTTCTAGCTTTTGCTGAATAATCCATTTTCCTTCTGTCTTCTCAGACGACTAAAAGCAGCTGCTAAGTATGGTTAAGTGTGTATTCTGAGTCTGGCACCATTCTTTTTCCAAGCTGGCCAACTAGCAAGCGAAGCTTTCATTTCTTAATTTGTGAAATCATCACACAAAAGAAAAATAAACAAGAGATGTGAATTTCTTGCCTGGTTTCAATGTCTCTAAAAAAAAAATCTGAATTTCAGTACAGGCCGTTTTAATTATTCCATATGGATCTCATAAAGCCTGTCCCAAGTAGATGACTGGAGCAATTGGAACGAGGTCAGACAGCTGGACAACATAGAATATGAGTTTTCTGATTGGAGCTGTTAGTCTGTTCCAAATAGAGAGCCCTGGCTGACAGATGAAAAGAGGAGTGTCAGCAATTCTGGCACTCTGGGAGCTGACTGAAGAGACAGCACTGAAGTCAAGGACTGTTCATGTGTAAATAAAGGGTGACTTGGTGATGGGATGCCTCTGTGGAGTTATTTCAGTGGTGATGAGAGTAAGGAGCTTTCCTGAAGAAACTTGCTCGCAACAGTTGTCTTTGAGTTGGGGCAAATATTTCTTACCTCATGATTTTGTTTGGGAAGCTTGACTCATTCGATTCTATCACTGAAAACTGGGCCCCGTAAGTGGAAAGAATGCAAATGAGATTATAGCAGATGAAAAGCAACAAGTAATTCTTCCGATAGCCTGTGGAGCTGTAGCTTTTTTCTGTTAGTAGGAGCCAAAATTTCCCCAAAGCACCAGATACTAAAACATTTCAAGAATTGATGGACATAGTTAAGGTATATTTTGATACCAAGCCTCCTCTAATTCTGAGACACTATCATTTTTATTTGGCAATTTGAGCACCAGGGAAATCCATATTGGGATTTTTGTCTAGGTTAAGACAACTTCCAGAAGCACGTGACTTTGGTTTAACCCTTAATGAGATGCTCAGAGTCCATTTGGTATGTGGCATTAATAATGTAACTGTGCAAAAACGCTTGCTAGCTGAAGTCCAACTGGACTTCAAATAGGCACTACAACTAGCTTTATCATTCGAAAATGTAGCAAGTTGAGCATATGAGTCCGACTGAGGTTCGGGAACACTACCTGGGTGAAGGTAATTGCATGGCCTCACGCAGGGCACATCCTGAACAGAGAGACCACAAGTCAGCCCACAGTAAAAACCCAAAACAGAGCTAAATCTCAAGTAAACAGTTAAAACTTTTTTCATGATCCTGGCCAGCAAGCCATTGTAGTTGCTGCCGGTATGTGGACTCAAGACAACAAAAGGGTCCCACTAAACCCAAATTGAGTAAGAAAACTCATAGGCTGGTATTCAGGAGGGTAACCACAGTGTTAATTCCCTGGAATGTCCACCAATATCTGGTTTGCAACAGTTAAATTGCTTAGCAACATCCAACTCAGAACCAATCAAAATTAAATGGTCACCCAGTTCAAATGGACATCAATACCGACATGGCCATTTCAGTGATTGCAGAACCAATTTTTAGCGAAATTCACTCTGGACTCCAGCCCTTAAGTTTACGCAAGACCTCGGCCAGACAGCGAACCTATCTTGGGGAACTTTACAGATTAAGGGTACAACTTTGGTTCCAGTCAGCATCTGGTTCCAGTGAGCGTAGTAAAAGGTTTCAACTCAAGCTTGATAGCACGAAATTGGTAGAGAAAGATTCCCATATTTTGACTCAACATTTTTCAATTAGAGAATGGTTGCCTGGGTGAAGTCCTAATTAAATACCCAGAAGTTTTTCAGGAAGGGCTAGGGACTATTAAAGGAACCAAGGCCACCTTGCATGTTGACCAGGAGGCAATTGCAAAATTCTGCAAGGCATGCACTGTGCTATTTGTGTTACGGGCAAAAGTAGAGGCAGAAATCAGAAGGCTGGAAAGCGAAGGAATCATGAAATCAGACCAGTTTGTGGAAAGGGCAGCACCGGTCGTACCGATTGTGAAACCCAATGGGTGGGTTCACCTTTGTGGAGATTTTAAACAAAAGGCAAACTTCATTTTTGCAGCTGGATAAATACACAGTCCCTCGCATAGAGGGTATATATGCAAAGATGGCCGGGGGCTGTCCTTCACAAAGCTGGACACGAACCAAGATTACTTGCAACTGCGTTTAGGCAAAGATTCCCAGGAGTACGCTGCAATTAATACCCATAAGGGTTTGTACCAATTTATGAGACTGCAATTTGGGATATCGTGAGCCTGTGCAATTTTTCAGTGGACGACAGAGAACATTTTGCAAGGTCAGCCTCAGGTCACCATTTATCTAGATGACATTGTAATAATAACAGGAAAAACTAACAAAGAACACTTAGAGATATAGTACTAAGATGTATTTCCAAGGCTTAGGAAGGGAAGAATGTGTGTTCCAGGCACCCCAATTGACCTACTTGGGTTGCAGAGTCAACAAGACTGGGTTGCACTTGTTGGAAAGTAAAGTGAGGGCTTAAGCCATTTCTTGGGTTGGTAAATTATTATGACAAGTTCATGTATAACCTGGCCTCTGTCCTGGCACGTTTGAATCAAATCCTAAAAAAGGGGTCAGTGTTGGAAATGGTCTCTTAGACAAGCTAGGGGAGGCAATGGTCTAGTGGTATTATCGCTGGACTGTTAATCCAGACACAGATAGTGTTCTGGGAACCCAGGTTCAAATCCCGCCACGGCAGATGGTGGAATTTGAATTCAATAAATATCTGGAATTAAGAATCTAATGATGACTGTGAATCCATTGTCGATTGTCAGGAAAAACCCATCCGGTTCACTAATGTCCTTCAGGGAAGGAAACTGCCATCCTTACCTGTTCTGGCCTACATGTGACTCCAGCCCCACAGCAATGTGGTTGACTCTTAACTGTCCCTCTGGGCAATTAATGCTGCCTGGCCAGCGATGCCCTCATCTCGTAAATGAATAAAGGAAAAAAAAAGCTTTCAGTGAAGTAAAGAAATAGGCATGATCCTCTAAGGTGTTGGCACACAAAGATCCCAAGAAAGATCCAGGACTGGCATATGATGCCTCCTGATACGGCATCAGGCTAGTATTAGCTCATAGGTGTCCAATGGAGAGGAATGCCCAATAGCATAAGCATCCGGGACTTTGTCTAATGCAGAGCGTAAATAGAGAAGAGAAAGGTGGATTGGCAGTCATATTTGGAGTCAGGAAGTTCCACCAATACCTTTATGATTGAAAATTTGTAATAATCACAGCCCACAAACCCCTACTGGGTCTCCTTAAAGAGGACAACGCAATGACAGCTTTGGGTGGCATTCAGCAGTGGTATCCAATACTGAATGCTTATAATTATACAAGTTAGAACACCGTCCATGAGGCCAAGTAACAAATGTGGATGCACTGAGTCACCTCCCATTAGCAAATACACCACAGTAGTACCCCCAATGGAAGAGTCTTTAATAATATTAAATTTTCGGGACACGCTCGCAGTCATGTCTTACAAAATCAAACTTTGGACACAGAAAGATCCAGTCCTTTCAAAACTGAAACATCTGTTGACGGGATACGGGCCTCTGTGGAGTTATTTTACAATACACCCACTGGTTTCCTTCATCCACACACTTCAGTTCTTCAAAAAACTCCAATGAGTTAGTTCAACATGATTTCTCTTTAATGGAACCATATTGGCTCCACCTGATTACCTTGAACTTGTCCAAGTGCCCTGTTATAATGTCTTTAGACATAGCTCCTAACATTTCTCAATAACAGATGTTAAGCTAACTGGTCTGTAGTTTCCTGCTTTCTGCTTTCTTCCCTTTTTGAGCAAAGGAGTTATATGAGCTATTTTCAAATCTGAAGGTAACTTCCCCAAATCTAATAAGTTTTGGAAATTTTTCTTCATCTCTGTCTTAAGTCGGTGGCCCCTCATTTTTAAACAATGACCCCTAGACATATCAGGGATTCTATCAAACAAGGCATATAGCATGCTTGCCTTCATCGGCTACAGCATTGAGTTTAAAAATTGGCAGGTAATGTTGCAGTTTTATAGAACCTTAGTTAGGCCGCATTTGGAATATTGTGTTCAATTCTGGTCACCACCCAACCAGAAGGATGTGATGGCTTTGGAGAGGGTACAGAAAAGATTTACAGGGATGTTGCCTGGTATGGAGGGCATTATTACGAGGAGAGGTTGGAGAAACTTGGGTTGTTCTCACTGGAATGATGGAGGTTGAGGGGCAACCTGACAGAGGTCTACAAGATTATGAAGGACATGGACAGAGTGGACAGTCAGAAGCTTTTTCCCAGGGTGGAAAAGTCAGTTACCAAGGGCCATGGGTTTAAGGTGTGAGGGGCAAGGTTTAAAGGTGATGTATGAGGCAAGTTTTTTACACAGAGGGTGGTGGGTGCCTGGAACTCGCTGCCGTGGGAGGTAGTGAAAGCAGATACTATAGTCACTTTTAAAGGTGTCTTGACAAATACATGATTAGGATGGGAATAGAGGGATACAGTCCCTGGAATGTTAGGGGGTTTTAGTTGTGATGGGCAGCATGTCGGTGCACGCTTGGAGGGACAAAGGGCCTGTTCCTGTGCTGTAATATTGTTTATTCTTTGTTCTAGTGTTTGCAAATTATTTAAATATGCTGTAATATTTTTTTGGCCATTGTAAAACCTGAAACACATCATTCCCAATGGGTAAATGCAACATGCAATTTGATACAGAGCCAGCAGGTGTAGGAGCATTAATCATTGCCTTTCCAGTTATCAAGTTGGCTACTTTCATGGTCTGTTTGTGCTCTGTTAACACTTCTTATGTTTTCCAACTGCTTTATTTTATAGTGTGTGAGTGATTAGAGCGGTTCATAACCGTGGCATTACAGTGAAGCTGCAGATAAAACCAAATAAATATTTTTACTCACGGTCATGAAATACCAGTGGAAAAAGACTCCAAAATCAGTTGTCCTCAAACTTTATTAACATTATCCAGATGGTTAAAGGCAGCTTAAAGAACGAATTACAAAATTATTCAACACATATTTTCCCACAGAGGGAAGCATAGGGAGGTGGGTTGGGGGCGAAGGGTAGGGCTAATAATAGGAATCTTGAAATACAAACACTTTAATGGGACGTATACTTTGCAGATTTGCACTTTAGAATAAAACACTAAACATACTTCATTCAAGACTTTTCAATCGCACTTGTACTTCTTGCTTTATTTACATAACTTCCAAGGACTGTGTGGTGGTTATGGGCGGATTACAATTTTTTGATGATCTAAAGAAAGATACACAGACTTCATAATTTAGGCACACATGCACATTTTTGTTTCTTCTTTCCTACTTTATTGCAAAATATCTTCTTCCTTTACTCCCTTAAATATCCAGTCCCTATATCCTGGCAAAGACTGAATGGGCTGAATGGTCACCATTCTGTGCCATAAATTTTCTATGCCTCCAACATGACTAGAGTGTGAACTCAATGACGGGTTCCCAGGTCTCCATTAATGCTGCTCTAAATTTCCTAAGTGTGGGTGCTCCTGGGTGATCTATTTATTTCTGCAACCTTCTTACAGTAAAATAACGACCTTAGGTCCTGATGGCACCCACCAATTAAGGTAATGGAGATGTCCATGAAACATCATCTACCACAATGTAACAGCATCATGGTATCCGAGTCAACTGGGGTCCAATGCTAATATTTTATTTTCTCTCATCTGCCGGTCCCAACGTAATTACTTATTTATGCCATTGAGTCATGCCGGATCATTAAGGTTCAATCTACATCTACCACTTTATCCCATTATGAGTGAGTCACTTTTTAACTTGTCACCTCTATGTCGACCAACTGCCCTCTCCCAGTCTATTCCAATGTTTATTACTTATTTTAGCATAAGTATTTCATCCTGTTCTTTCCGCTTGGATATCCCCAAAGATTACATCATGCTCCATCTGAAGGTTTATATATTCCTTTCTCTGACTTTATATTTATACTTTCTTATGATTTATCTTTCATCTGTTACCGTCTGTCTCCACCAAAACATCTTCTCTAGAATTCAGTAAGTGGTGAATTATGTCAAGCAACAGAATGGAGAATTGGTTGATCAGTCTAGATCACATAATAGAACGCCAGCAACAGAGACTCCTGCTGATGATAGCAGTATCACATTAGCAGGGGGCTAAGACTCATCAATACCACCAAATAATCAGTTGGCAACACCAACTCGAAAACAACATTGAAATCCATAGGTTTTCAGCAATGCCTGTTTATATGGATTGTTGCTGTGAGCAACCATGTTAAAACATTCAAAGCTTCCCACAGTATACTGTATAGGAAAATGCACTACACCATTCGATACCGAACCAGAAGGTTTGTTCCTATGAGTTTTTTGCTTCTAGCCAGATTAGAATATCGTAGTTGCTATCTTGCCATCCCTGATAGAATGCATGTTTTGGAGCTTAGCTGATGTAGGCATGATTGGCATTGGGCATTGAGCATCCATGATGGAATAACCGACCATCAAGGCTCAGGGTAGGTCACACTTAATGAGTACCACTTGAACCAAGTGCTAGGGAATCGTCATTGCTTGTGATTGGCATGGGGTGGTTGCAAAATCAGAATTGTTGCCAATTAACCATTATCAAATATTTGGATAATAAGTATATTCCAACATCTCAAAATATTCCTTTACAGTTTTCAAATCTATGCCATATATTGGATGAAATATAAATCAGTGCTATATAAGTTTCACCATTTTACATTCAGATGTATAATTGATATGCTATCCATTTGAAAGATGGCACGTTTGCTGAGTGTTTTTATTCATCCACAGTACATCTACAATCACCAGCTTTTGTACTTAACGGCCACAAGCTTAATTATTTCATTCCTACTGGAAAAACAAAAATCAACAAAAATAAATGCCACACTTTTGGGTTTTAATTGGATTGATGCCATCCAGTACCTGGTCACACTTAAGCTGATGTCCCTCCTTTTCACTCGGGTCAGCAAAGTGCTATGAATGTAAGGGTAAGCTTTGGATAATCAGATCTTTGATCGCGATCTCAGTTGCAGTGCATTTAAGTAACATTAATGGTTTAATGGGGGTGGAGGGGAGTGTAGTCAACAACCAGGTTGCCTCAGGTCTCCACTGGCATTGTCTGTAATGACTGAGGGGATGTGTCATTGTCCTTCCAATTGTACGAGCTGAATGTTGGGCTCCTGTGGCTGGCCTTTGTCAGCAGAGTGTGCCTTTTGATGCTGGTTTCTGAATCTTCCTTCTTCAGCTTCCGGGTAATTTTGTGGCAACAGGGAAAAAAATGGACGATATCACTCAGGAGGTGGCCACTGAAGAACATGTAGATCCATGGGTTGCAGCAGCTGTTGAGACTTCCGAGCAGCATAGTGAGGGTAAATGCAGTGTCTGTAGAATCTGCAAAGCACAGCAGCAAAAGTCATTAACCTTGGCTTGGATATCATTAAAAGCACTGTCCAATGTGTCCACCCATCAATGTATCTCGAAGCACTGAAAGTTGGAACGCGAGTAGGCCACTCAGTCCATTGAGCCTGTTCTGCCATTCAATGGGACCTATTTCCACTGGTTGGAGATTCTAGAACTGGGGAGTGATATAGTCTGAGAATTAGGGCCAGACCATTCAGGAGAGATATTAGGAAGCACTTCTACACACAAAGGATGGGAGAGGTTTGGAACTGTCTTCCACAAATGGCAGTTGATGCAGTAATCAGCTAGTTTACTTTTAAATCTGAGATAGATAATTTTTTGTTAAGCAAAGATATTAAGGGATATGGGCCAAAGGCAGATGTATGTAGTTAGGCCACAGATCAGCCATGATACACTGAATGGCAGAAAAGACTTGATGGGATGAATGGCCTACTCCTGTTCCTATGAATCATAGATGATCTGATAATCCTCAAATGCACTTTCCTACCTTTACCTCATAACCCTTGATTCCCTTACTGATTAAAAATCTGTCTATCTCAACCTTGAATACATTTAATGACCCAGTCTCTGCTGCTTTCTGTAGAAAAGAATTCCAGATTCAATACCCTCTGAGAGAAGGAATTCCTCCTCATTTCTGGCTTAAATGGAAGAATTCCTTACTTTGAGATTATGAGGTGAGAGTGACTTACTCGAAAAGAAGTTGTTGAGATGAGGAAGGTGAAGCCAATAAGCACTTAAGGGATAAAGCAGCACATGATTATACTGATAGGTTGAGATGAAGAGGGCTTTGAGGAGGTTTGTGTTGAGCACAAGAGAAAAGTTGGGCCCAATAGTCTTTTCCTGTGCTGTACGTTCCCTGCAGTTCTATGATCTACACGAACAATAATGCCATGTAAAAGGAAAGATTCCAATTCTGCTTACATAAGACCTAGCCCCTGGCTCAACAAGTTTGTTCAGTGAGCCACAAAGATGCACAGAGCAGGGTGCTCATGGTTCAGGCTCCAGTCTGGAAAGAGGGTGCTTGGCTGTTTGCTCAGCCTCTGTAGAGTGAAAGAAACAAGTGAAGATTTTGGGCGCGAGCTCTTCTGATGCAGGGTCAATACTGAAATGTTAAGTTAAAAAGAAAACTGAAATGTTGACCTGTCTGATTTCTCTAGGAAGGTGGAGAGAGGTTCAGAGTCAATGCTGCTCCATCAGCTGATCTCAGTGAGGGATAGAGGACAGTTTTATAACATGGAAACAGACCTTTGAACCAACTCGTCCACACCAACCAAGTTTCCCAAATCAAACTAGCCCCATTTGCCAGCATCTGGCCCGAATGCCTCTAAACTTTTCCGATTCATATACCTGTCCAAATGTCTTTTAAAGTTGTAACTGTACCTATATCTACCACTTCCTTTGGTAGTTCATTCTATATACACACCACCCTCTGTGTGAAAAAGTTGTCCCTCAGGTCCCTTTCAAATCTTTCCCCTCTCACCTCAAAACTATGCCGTCTAGTTTTGAATTCCCTTACACTGGGGAAAAGACCTTGGCTATTCACCTTGTCTATGCCCCTCATGATTGTATAAGCCTCTAGAAGGTCACCCCTTAACCTCTTACATTCTAGGGAAAACATCCACGCCGATCCAGCCTCTCCTTATAACTCAAACCCTCCAGTCCTGATAACATTCTTGTCAATCTTTTCTGCACTTTTTCCAATTTACTAATATTCTTCCTATAGCAGGGTGACCAGAACTGGACACAGTACTCCAAAAGTGGCCTCACCAATGTGTTGTACAGCCGTAACATGATATCCCAACTCCTATACTCAATGTTCTGACCAACCAAGGCAAGCATGCCCAACGCCTTCCTCACCACCCTGTCAACCTTCAAAGGCCACTTTCAAAGAACTCTTGGCTCTTGTTTATTCACCCTTAATTATCAACACATGCCATTGAAGAATGTCAGTGCAGTGGATTTAATGTGAATCATATTCAAGTCCAACAAGCTTAAATGTTCAGCTAAAATGTAAAAATGCACAATGCAGTACACAGAGAGACTTAAAATGGGAGGTAGACTTAAACAGGGAGTTGCCTAGGGGCTCTCACAGGCTGGAAGAGATCGTTCAGCAAAAAATGATCTTTCCAGCTGCATTCAGTCTTGTCCGTGCTACAGGAATAAAAAACATTTTTAAAAAGGGAATGAAGTACAAAAGCAGGAGTAAGTGCAAATCCCAGTTTCACCTGCATGAGTGTTTGTGACCCTGTGTATTTAGAAATAAAGGGCAGAGGTGGCCTATTTTGCATCCACAGGAACGAGGCAGGGTAAAGGCAGTTAGATAGTCATAGAGTCATACAACACAGAAAGAGGGCCTTCAGCCCACATGCCTATACCGACATGATGGAGATAACAGAAGTGTGGATGGGCCTGACAAAGAAGCCTGAGGAACAAGAGGCAGGGGAAGATTATTCAAGTGGTTCATTCAGCTGGACATGTTTTAAAAGTCACGTGTGAACTGTAACAGGCCGAGGAAGGTAAATTGGTCTCTAAAACCTTCTGGTGAGGACAAGAAAATCAGCCAAAGTTTCCATTCGAGATATCTGTTGCAATACCTATTGAAATTGTAAGTTGGAGAATGATAGAGGAAGACAGAACAAGGCTAGATTAAGTGTCTCAAGACTGGTATTCACAGTCAAGGTTCAGATATGACTGATGGTCAATTGGGTGAGACACCAGACAGTGTCTTGGGGCAGTATATTTTAGGAGTCTGAGTGATGTGGACTATGGTGAGATGTGTGGAAGAATTGGGCACAAAGTCCAGCAATACCCATCTTGACATCAGTGAAGGTTGCTCCATCCTTTATGTTTCTTATAAGCAGAGAGACAAGATTCTCACTAGGCAGAAGCAAGTTGCCATTTCAGGGGCTTTATTGCTTGTTAAATGTCCTATTGCCATCACAAACTGCTCCATTAATAATCAACTTTCTATCTCACCAAACTTACTAAACAAGTTCAAAGTCAAGAAACCGCAACATGGAAACCAGAATGGAGACATGGCATAGTCAGCTCGCTGCTTGATCTGAATGACCTCCAACTAACTGCAACCCAGGTTATGCCATGTGGGCACCACCTGCACACACTCCCTTTATCTATGAATATTGGCATCTGTCATTGGCCAACCCAGCACCATCATCATGTCACCTCTGATACCCTGGCAGGATCCTCTGGAAGCAGGAGATACTAGCAAACAGCAGTGAAGGGTTGCCTTGGGGACACTTTGCATGCAGGGACAGGCACCGGCTCAGAGAATGGACTGAGCTGAATCTCAGGGCTGCTCGCCTGCTCTCTTAGTGCTCACTCACTTCAAATCTTAGATTCAGATTTATTTAATATTGTCACTTGTACCCAGGTACAGTGAAATGTGTATAATGTCGTAACGTTCTGGTGCCACGTTGGATTACAGAATAAATTACTGAAAAAAATTGCATAAATGGTGGAATACTGAATAAATTGGTATTGAACTGACATTACTTGGGCTGAAACAACTTCAAAAGTTCATCTTTCCCTGTCCATAGACTTCACTCTATCTGTTACTTCTGTTGCCACCGTCTGACATTGTCCCCAGGGTCTGGGCAAGGTGCTCCTTTCCTGTCACCTCTGAGGTGGAGACTGTCCCACACTTCCTCCGATGCTGGACATTGATAGATGGGTCTTGGCTTCAAGTCGAACAATGGTGTCCTGGCTCCGAGTCACTGGGTGTGGGCCCTGGCTCGCCTTCCAATGCCACTACCCAAGATGGAGCGGGGATGGAGATACTTCCACAGGAGGACACCAGGAGGAGACCCCAGGTCAACCAAACCCCAAAAAAACCCTGCTTGCATCTTTCTAGCATCCTTGCCTTGGCTGCCAACTAGCACAATTACACAGCCAAGCAGCTTGCCCTGCTGGTCAGCAGTCCTCAGTCAAGGGGGTGGACAGCTTGCCGTGGGGCTATATCAATCTCAGACCACACTCCATATACCAGCAGCTTACACCGTAAACACACGGCATATGCAGCAAGCAGGCAGCCATGTCTCAGTGTGTTTCTCACTGAAATCCATGAGGCACCTATCAGTCAGGGAGTCCCTGCACAGTAAGTCAAGGGCACCCTCTGATACCAGTCCAAAGGATTGGACATGGTCAGTCGTCAATTCAAGGTGATTTTGGTCAGGGGGTCAGTGCCTCTGTAGTCCAGGGAGCGGGTCATGGTCAGTCCTATGGGTCCATAGCAGCCAGTCTGGGGTAGTGCACATACGGACCAGGAAATGTGCATCCATCAGCCGGAGGTCAGGGCACTGCTCATCCAGGACTGTCTGATCAGGTTGTTCAAGAATCATGATCAGTCTGTTGGGTCCATCCACAGAAACTGAGGAGAAAGGGAGGTGGTGGAGAGACAAGGGCAGGTGTTGCTGTGGGAATGAAACTCGGCAGGTCAGCCTTCGGAGCTAGAGGATGCAGGCTCTGGGGAAGGGGCAATTACAATTTTAAAGGAGGCAACAATATTTGCAACACAGAGATGCAGTAAAGTGTGCCTGGAAAGGAGGAATGTAGGAGGGGCTCATCCACACCAGGAGTGCCCTGGCTTCAAAGGGTGGGCAGTGTGTGACCACACCTGACATGGTCCCCTCTTATGTGAGGGAGTGGGCAGAAGTTGTAGGCAGGTGCAGGGGCATGTAGCTGGGATGATCAGGGACCTGGAAGTCTATGAGGTTTATAGGTTGGGCTATTAGCAAGGAGATGTGGATATTCAGGGGCTAATCAATACACAAGGGTGGAATCTGGAAGCCACTTGCTGAGGAACACTCTGACATCCTTCCATCTTGCTGAAAATCAAAAGTGTGCAATGGGAAAGAAAATGGTAGCAACCACACCCCCAGAATGGGGCGGGTCAGTGACTGAACCTTGTTTGTGACCATGACAGGATGCTAGATGGTGTAACAATGTCTTTT